TATATATATATATATATATATTTCCACAGCTCACCATGGTACAATATATCCATGGTCACATCATCCCGAGGAGTGTCAATGGAAGCTGCTGTCAAATCTACAGATGATTTGATCATCAGTGATAGCTGTGTGAAGCGTTTAAAAGAAATAGCCGATGATAATACATGTTTAAGAATTATCGTAGAAGGCGGTGGTTGCTCTGGATTTCAATACAAGTTTGATTTAGATCCAAATATACAAGAGGATGACAGGTGTGCATTAAAATGTATATATATTTTTATATATATATATATTTGTGAACAACATACAATTGATAGAAACTCTTTATTTCTTGTGTTATACAGAATATTTCAGAAGGATGGTACTAAGGTAATAATAGACTCGACATCGTTAGAATATGTGAAAGGATCAACGATAGAATTCCATACTGAATTGATACGATCTGCCTTTAGAATAACGAACAATCCTTTAGCCGAACAGGGATGTAGTTGCGGTGCTAGCTTTGCTATTAAAATAGAATAAATGATAATGGAGATGTACATGTTATTACATTGATTAATGACAGTATGCTGGCTCATAATTTAGTATTATTTATTAATTTTGAAACAGTTTACCGAAGATTAATTATACTTTATTTATAATTAATACGCACAAAGCAATACATACAATTGCTTTGGCGAATATACATTAATTTTATCACAACACCTACTATAAACAGTAGCTGTACATATCTCTTACATTTTTTTTAATATAGAAAGAACAATTTATATAATTTACAATCGTAGATGTCAATTTAACTATAAATGGTCTAACTACAATTGTACAAGTAATACCAAAAAGGATTTATGCTTTTTGCTCTTTTTATTAACAAATTTAGATTGTAAAATTTATCCTGTACGAAGTGTTGGTATATTGCTAAATAAGTATGAGCAAATAAGAATAATCGTTGCACATATAGAAGAGTTAAACTTATAACATAAACAACGTTCATAAAAAGAACGTCATTTCGATGAGTTTATTTTGATTTCATAAATAATGTAACATCAAGTTAGAGAGCTCTTTAGCGCTTTTCAGACTAAAGACACGAGTATACGCAAAATCAGTGGTTTTCACATATGAGCTAAATATGTACATAAGATTTATCAATGATCCCGATTAAACCATACCATTGAATGGAATGTCAATGATTGTTCTTTGCAATTCTGACCTGGATCACTTCTGTTTCCCCTTTTTACTATTCTGAAAAAAAATTTATACTTTCGATATTAAACGCTGTCATAAAAGACTGTCCCTTATACATTTATATCCTGTGTACTGTCTTTACCTTATTAACTAGTTCAAATTTCAGTTGTTGTATTTCCTCCGTTTGGAAGATAAGTTTCTCATTCATATTGGCAAGATGCTCGCTCATAGTATTGAGCTGTATCTTGTAATTTACCTCTTGCGCATCTTTCTCTTTTTGTATACTGTTACAATTGGAAAGTGTCTCTAACAGTGTCGCTTCGCATTTCTCCCTCTTTGACTCGCTTGTATCTAACTGCGCATGCATAACTTCGCCCTAAAACACAAACAAATGTGTGCATCATATAACAAAAATATAAAAACTTTCATACAAATAAGATTTAAAGTATGTTTTATTACATTAGCGGCCATAGCTAAGTTCTTAATATGATAGACATGTTTTTCATTTGTTAATCTTTCAATTTCTTCTAGGAAATAATTCCTAATTTTTAATTCACGAGCTTCGATTTCGTCTGGTATGGCGAAAGGTGCACTTAATTTTCCAATCTGTGAACAAAAAAAAAGTTGAGACATAAAATTTAGTTAAAAATGCGATACATATGTTTAAAAGAAATGTGGAAATATATATTAATAATACACACCATATTATTTATTTCCGTAAGTTTTAATGTGTCATTATTAATTTGCGGAGTTTGATTTGCTGCAGCCTCTCTTTGTTCTAATTCATCATATTTTATCTTGAGTATATGATATTGAGCCTTCCAATGATTGATTTCCTTCTCTAAGTCACATGATTTTGCATAAAGGAATTCATTACTTTCTTCTTGTGACTTTTGCGGCTTTCCTTCCCCAAGCGACTTCGATGATCTACGCGAAGCAGACGGTGAAGAAAACGGCGATGGTTCTGTCTGACGATGATTCGAGAGTATTCCTCTCGTATCAAAATCGAAACCATCGCGTCTACCTTCGTTACTAGACCACGACACAGTTTCCTCTTGTTTCTGTCTATCGTTTAGTTTTCTCTGCAAGTCATTTCTCTCTCTTTCTAATTTGTCTATAGCGCTTTGATACTGGCATTCTAACTCTACCTTAGACTTTTCGCAATAATCGACTTTACATTCCAACTGTTGTATCCTATCATACAAACTTTCAATTTCACTATCCTTGTCGCTAATCTGGGACAATAATTGAGCATTCTCGACAATCTTCTTCTGAAATTCTTCGTCTAAGATGTTATTTGGTGGTGGTGGTGCCGGAATTTGACTGTTGTTCTCCGACGCTTTGCTCTTACCCTTCTTGGGCTTATTTTGTGCTTTATCTAGCTCTTCTTGTAGTACAGTTATACGCTTCGTCAACTGCTGATTGCGAAATGTTAGACTGTCTATCTCCTGCTCAGCCCTACGAAACTCCACCTCCTTTTCCTTTAGTTGATTCCGAATATCTGTGTTACGTGCTTGTTCTTCTATCACAGCCTTCTTCAGAACATTTGCTTGCGCACGAATCTGCAAATTGATCATCCTCCTTTAGATACATTAAATAGTAAATAGACGAAGCAAAAAGCCAACATAAAATCATAGATTGGCAGCACGCTATCGTAACCCAGTAAACTTCAACAGTAACATAACATCAATGTTGTAATTTCATACTCAACAATATAAATATAATACAACACATGTGTACATAACAGTTACATTGAGTGAAATTAAAATATTGATACATCTTATGTTACTGTTAGACCAATTTTTTTTATTTGTCATACGAAAAATTTTTCAAGCGTATATTACTCTTAGTTGATGTTTACTGGAAAATATCTGCCTTTACGAGAGTTACTCACTTTTGAGTATTCCGTGGCGATTTTCTGATACTTGGTCTGCAGTTGACCGTTGGCACCCTCCATACCTTCCTGCCCCAACCTACCTACGCGCTCCCGTTAACGCGTCTTTCCAGATTCGCCACGCGGATGTCAATTATTGACACCTGGACATCGTTCACGAGACCTTTGGGTGTTGCGCTCGCGGTGCCGGGACACGCATCGCGCGTTTCCTGGTGATGACGTCGGCGCGCGCGATGTTTATCGACGAGTCAGCACACACATACATACACACACGCACACATATAACGCATACACCTAATCTGGGAGGAGGAAGAGGAGAGGGAGGAGCAGATTAATGTTAAGCCGTGATCGGCGAAGCCCCGTAATTCCCCATTAAACGCGCGACGCGGTCGCGGACGCTCCTCTCAGGCGAGGAGCCGTGGGGAGAAGCGTACCGTAAAACGCGCGCTCTTTAATGAAACGCCCCCGAAACGCGATAATATACACCCGCCCTATCGTGCCATACTACCGAATCCTGTTTGCGTGCGTGCGACGTGAAGTGAATGTCACATCGCCGCGATATATCGCCGACCAGACGGAAGCTGGCCGCAGGCGCATGTACTTTTAAACGCGACTCACTCGCGGGGCGGTTCTTGCCGATAGTGCCGATACCGTATCGGCCGTGTATCACAAAGCACACTCCTCGTAGCCGAGCATCTCGTACTTCTCGTTTCGTCTCTTTATCGCACTGACACGTCCAATCGCACGCTCCTTCCCGTTTCAAGTGCAGAAGGTATAGCGCGGTGCAGCCGCGAGGAGCAGATTCCTCGCCATGTAAATTTCAACGTACGATAATTATCGCGCGAGAGATAACAAGATCTAAATAGATTGATCTGCAGTCGTCGGGTCTTTATCGCGCAGAGAAGTTGACGTGAATATTTAAACTCGTTTTCTGATAAGAATTTCAATGCGTATGTAGGTATGAAAATCTTATTTATTGAATAATTTGAACTTTGAGATGGAATTAATGATCGTCTCTTGTTATTCTTTCTCATAAAAATGCGCGGTCTATTATAATAATAATTTCTATTATAATAATAATGCTATTAAATTAATGAAAATTCAGATTTCTATTCTTTTAATTTTACAAAGAATTCTTAGAGATAAGAAAATTCATATCATACAAGTTTCTTGCGCTCTGAATTTAGATAACTCTCTTAATTAGACTCGTCAATTTAATCATATAAGACGTATGTCATCAACTCTAACAAGGAAACACAAATGTTTCCCTCTGATTTTAATAAATTAAGGCTATATTAAAATATAGACAAAAGTAAGATATGTATTTTTTTACAGTGCTTATGTATATACATTTAATTATATTAATGCTTTCTCACATGTTAAACAGATAAAATTCTCCTTTAAAAAAATTATTTCTTTATTTCTGAGTAAATATTATCTGAAGTTAATATAAAGAAATATTTCAATTTTTAAATAAAATGTTTCTTATTAAAAAATTTTTTTATTAAATGATTCCATGAAGGGTATTTAATTTACATTTATAAATTCTATGCATTACAATAAAGTATATTAAATACGATATCAACGAAAATCGAAAAAATATATCAGTTAATATTAGGTGTAGTAAAAAGAAATCCATTATTTTTCCATTCAATTTCATACAAAAATAATGGATTTCTTTTTACTACACCTAATATATCGATTTTTTAAAATTCTATTTTTTCTTATTTAATATGAATTATCAAGATATGAACATTGACTATTGTCGATTTAATTAATTTCGTTGCTTGATAAAGAAACTAACGAAGATAATCCTTGTTCATCGAAGTTTGCTACCGTCCAGTTTTAGATTCTTATTAAAGAATCTAAAAGAATCAAAAAATTATTATATTTAGCACTTAAATGATCATTTCGCGATTT